AGTAAATCGTGTAAATCGTTTATCAATAATCTTCGAAGCTCGTACGTTAATTCTAACTAATTCAATACAGACATGTTTTCCAATGGACTCAGCTGGAGCATCGTACATAATATCTATTGCAAATCGTGTTCTAAACATTCAGTTTTTAAAGTATTATGTGCAAACACATTCGTTTATCTGTTGCCTTGAATCCTGCAATTCTTCACATGATAAACACAGACCTTATGGTTTCCATCAAGACAAATAAAAAAAAACTTTCAAAGACATTTTAGTGGATATTTGTTTCTAAATGGTGAAAAATGAGTTACCTGTAACAATTCAATGGACATTTAAATGGATTTTTTCAAAGATAATTTATATTCTTCATACATAATTCATGTTAAATTTGATTTTTAAAAATAATTAATGGTTAGCAGATAACTGACTTAATTCTTAACACTCTGGGAGGTTCTTTTATTAGGCCCTTAATGGTAAGACTATAGCTTTTATCTGCGTCTGTCTGTATGTATGTTTGTCTGTCTGTCAGTCTGGCCCGCTTGGTTTTACACACTTTTTTCTAAACCTTTGTTGATTTTGAGGGCTGATTTTTCTTAAAGGAGTGTATATCTTGGTGAGTTACAAATCAAATTTTATGGAACGCCGTAACTGCCTTATGTGGAGAACTTTCATTATATGATGGTATTTTGTCATTATATGATGGTATTTTGTCATTATATGATGGTATTTTATCATTATATGATGGTACTTTGTCATTATATGATGGTATTTTGTCATTATATGATGGTATTTAATCATTATATGATGGTATTTTGTCATTATATGATGGTATTTTATCATTATATGATGGTATTTTGTCATTATATGATGGTATTTTTTTCATTATATGATGGTATTTTATCATTATACGATGGTATTTTATCATTATATGATGGTATTTTGTCATTATATGATGGTATTTTATCATTATATGATGGTATTTTATCATTATATGATGGTATTTTGTCATTATATGATGGTATTTTGTCATTATATGATGGTATTTTATCATTATATGATGGTACTTTGTCATTATATGATGGTATTTTGTCATTATATGATGGTATCTTGTCATTATATGATGGTATTTTGTCATTATATGATGGTATTTTATCTTTATATGATGGTATTTTGTCATTATATGATGGTATTTTGTCATTATATGATGGTATTTTATTTATATGGTATTTTATCATTATATGATGGTATTTTGTCATTATATATGGTATTTTGTCATTATATGATGGTATTTTATCATTATATGATGGTATTTTGTCATTATATGATGGTATTTTGTCATTATATGATGGTATTTTATCATTATATGATGGTACTTTGTCATTATATGATGGTATTTTATCATTATATGATGGTATTTTGTCATTATACTACTTTTCATTATACTACTTTTCTTTATACTACTTTTCATTATACTACTACTTTTCATTATACTGCTTTTCATTATATGCTACTACTTTTTCGTCATTATTTGAAGTCTCGATCATCCAGACGCTTGTTTCTATAACACATTCGCTGTTCCTAGACTGGCAGTACGAAATCGAGGATCAGACAGGCAAGCCAGTCTAAGTATCGTAACAGTATTTCACTTGGATTCACATCATATCAAGGCTGACGTAAAATAATTCCGGAATCTTCCCTTCCGATTCGGACATTTCGATACGAGACTGGAGCTGAATTTTTATATGAGATGAAAAACAACATGTATACTTCCTGTAATGACAAGATTTATTAAGATTTAGTGCGTGTTGGTGTTTCTATATACTGTCAAGAGTAGGGAGTGATTAGGCCCTGGACTAGTTTTTCAAACACCTGCTCAACTTCAACTGAAACAAACTTGCGTGTCTTTCTGCATGGATGGCTATGTATTTTTTGGTACTAAAATCTTTACAAGTATTAGCTTTCCTAAAAAGCTTGTCTGACGTGGTTTGCTTAAATTCAAAAGGTGGAAGAAATAATATGTTATAAAATTTCTTTCGTTCGATAATATATCTTCAAGAGACCATTCGTAAACAATATTGTATACAATAATGAACAAAGAACGTTGAATTTAGGTTCCAGGCTCCAGGATCATGAAACAAACTAAGACTTAAGTCAAATTTTTAATCGACGATAAAATATTTATTAATTATATAATATCTTCATTTGCATATAAAAATATTTTAATTCTGGTCTGCTTGACTTGACAACATTATATTATAAAATAAAGATTTTGATCGACTTACAGAGGCGTAGTCACAAACTTAAAAGTGGGGGGGGGCTCAACTTCAGAAATTATTTGATAAGCAAAAAAAAAAAAGAAAGGGAAATGTCCATATCCAACCAAACGTGAAAGTCCTATTTGGTGGTGGTGGGTGGTGGGGGGGGGGGGGGAGTCTTGTCAGATTTAATTACTTTATTACATTATTACTATATCATACAACTATAACTTCAAGAAAAATGCTTAATCAGTTGTTGTTGAAAATAAAATACATTTGCTATGAAATGAGGTTTAATTTTATTTCAACATAGCTGTGATTTTGTTCTACATTAAGGTAGGGGAGCATAAACATACTCTTGCCCCCCCCCCCCGATCTGAAAGTGGGGGGGGGGGGGGGGGGGGGCTAGTGCCCCCTCTGCCCCCCCCCCCCCTTTGACTACGCCAGTGACTTAAGCTTAAGATGTTTCAAAATCCCGGGGCCCGCATTTTTCATGTAATGTTTTATATGTTAAATGACCTAACTGATTTTTTTGTTTCGGTCGAAGTCGATCCAGGGCCTAATCACTCCCCACTCTTGACAGTATATAGAAAAACCAACACGCACTAAATCTTAATAAATCTGGTCAATGCAGAAAGTTTACATGTTGTTTTTCATCTCATATAAAAATTCAGCTCCAGTCTCGTATCAAAATTATTTCGAGATCATTTTACGTCAGCCATGATTTGACATGAACCCAAGTGAAATACTGTTACGATACCTAGACTGGCTTGCCTGTCTGATCCTCGATTTCGTACTGCCAGTCTAGGAACAGCGAATTTGTGTTATAGAAACAAGCGTCTGGATGATCAAGATTTCAAATAATGACGAAAAAGTAGTAGCATATAATGAAAAGTAGTATAATGAAAAGTAGTATAATGAAAAGTAGTATAATGAAAAGTAGTATAAAGAAAAGTAGTATAATGAAAAGTAGTATAAAGAAAAGTAGTATAATGAAAAGTAGTATAATGACAAAATACCATCATATAATGATAAAATACCATCATATAATGACAAAGTACCATCATATAATGACAAAATACCATCATATAATGATAAAATACCATCATATAATGATAAAATACAATCATATAATGACAAAATACCATCATATAATGATAAAATACCATCATATAATGCCAAAATACCATCATATAATGATAAAATACCATCATATAATGACAAAGTACCATCATATAATGATAAAATACCATCATATAATGACAAAATACCATCATAAAATGACAAAATACCATCATATACAGTCAATTCTCGAATTATCGCCATTCGATTCATCGCCATTTTCGCAATACCGCCATGATTTCCCAAGAACGTTTTTCCTGCTATATAAAATTCTCTTTATAACGCCAAATTCGCATACCGCCATCCGCCACCCTGTTTTCAAAACAAACGTCCATTTTTAAGTGTCAATTATCTCGATATACCGCCACAGGTGCATGTGGTCAGTGAAGCGTGGCTAATTGGTTGACGCTATCCCTGTTGTTAAGCATGCAAAGCCAGACAAGGTACAAGCAATTAAATAATTAAATAAGAATTAAATAAACAAAAAATAAATTTTAACATGAACTGTGATATAAAAAAATGCGTTCTATTAAATAAAAATCATTTAGTCACGGCTTTGCCTTGAAAGCTGGACGTCGTTGTTAAAGCACATCGATATCGAAATTATTTTAATGATCTCTGCTTTAAACAATACAAAATTTGCTTAAAAACTAATTATACAGTATAAATTCTGGACGTTTCATTAACAATGATGCCATTAACAATGAATTTATTTGAATAATTCATTTTAAGTACTATCGGCAATATCTTACGAGATCGATCAAGCATGTGTTTTTTTCAATATCAGACTGCAGATGTACATGCATACTTATATACATTATGTACTTATCTTTATTTCATAACTGCACATTTTGTTTAGCTAAACTGTACATAAAAAATTACTTGACGTATAATCAAATTTAGGAGTATGTTTAATTTTATATACATGTTCATGTAATAATACGAATAGAAACGCGAATGGTATTGTTAAGAACAGTAACTCTACTTCTTGTTTCCTAAATGATGGGAAATTCAATTCATCGCCAAATTCGTTATACCGCCATGATTTCTGAATTACAAAAGGTGGCGGTTTATCGAGAATTGACTGTAATGACAAAGTACCATCATATAATGAAAGTTCTCCACATAAGGCAGTTACGGCGTTTCATAAATTTGCATTTCATTCCACTTCAATGATTTTTGACGGAATTACAAGTTTTGCATTTTTCACAATTTTTCCCCCTAAAAGCTTGCAGAATATGATGAACTGATTTTTTTTTTGGGGGGGGGGGGGGGGGTATGTGGCTTTACCTTGATATAGTTTGCATGACGGAATAAACGCATTTTTAATTTTTAATTGGAACCAGATCATACTTGCCAGTAGGAGACAAGAATTGCTAATGCAATAGTCTCTCTTCTCTTAAATATATAGGGTAACACATACGTAAATATACAAATAAACAATCGTACATATTCATATTCAGAAATATTCCTTACTGATATGAATGGTCAGAAACTCACATATTTCAAGACATATATCAATAAAAATGTTACATGTAAGATGACTAATTTCTTCTTTCTAGAAAACCGTGTTCAAGCCAGTAATGATTGAGTACCAGTTTAATCATTTTTCATTATTTCAGGTTGCTGTGGACAGTGCTGATGTTGTTTTGTATTACGTTGATGTCGTATCAGATTATAGACAGAATCATGTACCTACACAGCAATCCCGTCAACGTTAACGTCAAAATCAACTACAACCAATCCCTGACCTTCCCCGCCGTTACTATCTGTAACCAAAACGCATTCAAGTAAAGTCTATTTCATTTATTTTGTTTCTTTGTTTTATTATTGTTCGTTTGTAATTGTAAACTATCTTGGTAAATTGTGAATTTGATCCTTTGTGTAAATTTATTGAAAATTTGATAGTTTTGACAGCTAATTCACATGTTATTTAAATGTTCAAAATGTAATATAAAATTTGTTTATGATTATACTTTAGCCATAAATGATTATATTTCATTGTGCTTACTAATGCTTTTTATAGAGCTACAACTGCCGCCGAGAGGAATTGGTATCGTCTTATAGAGACTATGTACAATGGAAGCTCGAAATCTTTCTCACAGAGGGACCTAGACAGGTTCCACGCCTCCACTCTGACATTCAACCAACTCTTCCAGCAGGCCTCTCACAGAAAAGAAGACATGATTGTAAGGTAATGTGAGTAACCTTTACCTGTATGTGGTGTTTACATATCCCAACGTATTAGAAACTCAATAGCATGCTCTGAATAAGATTAAATTTCTCAAAAGTACAGGCTCTTGAGACATAAGTTGATGTTATACCGAGGTTTCAACAATAGGGCTGGGACGATACAACTTTTTCTATATCGATACGTATCACGATATTTGAGCCACGATACGATATGTATCACGATATGTTTAATTGCTTATAAAGTCTTTCAAACAAATTATTTCTTTGCAAATAAGAATAACTTACTCAAGTTGTTTATATGTTGTAAAACAAAAATATTTTACTTAAATGGTATTAATCATTATTTATTTCATATCTGTATTTATATTTAGCTTAATATTTATTTTATAAATTAAACCCCAAATGTTAAATAAACAAAGAAAAACATGACTCAGATTTTTTGGGGTGGTATTTTGATATTTCTTCATACATGTATGTATTGATATGCGTATCGTCCTCACATATATCTTGATATATCGATATCTCGATATATCGTCCCAGCCCTATTCAACAACCTCCTTTAAAATCGGCATTTGGTATAATTATTCTATGGTCGTTATAATAACCTTGTCGGCAAATATATAAACCTATCATTTGGTCATAATTAGGCTGACTTGTTTCATACCAAATGCTAAGCCTTGGTTGTTTCATACTGAATTTGAGTACGAAATGTTCCGTCGACCTAATCAATCCATAAGGCTCACGGCGGGTGTGAGCTTACTCCTTCCAGTCACCTTGTCCCAGGATCATGAAACAGACTTACCCCTGGTAGACTTAAGTCCAATTTTTTATCGCCTGTAAAATGTTTATTCATTATTGAACGAATCTCTAATTTTGCAGATAACAACCCTTTTGTAAAGCAATATTAAATAATATTTAAGTTTTTGTCTACTTTAGTTAATCAAAATTCTAGTTCAACATGAATAATTTGACTTAAACTTAAGATGCTTCATGATCCTGGGACTTGAATCATCTCTGGAATTCCCAGGGTTCTGTGTTTTATGCCCTTTTCACAGATTTGTATTGGTTATAGATTTTTAAAAGATTGATCATTGTTCATTATCATTTTTCATCGTTATTAAATGCCGTAAAAGACCTCAGAGAAAATTGGTTTCTGGTATGAATCATTTTGTAAATGGATAAAGGTACATACAACATTTTCATTTTGAACTTTTCGCCACCCAATTACTTTAATTAAAAATCGTTCGTTTATTAATTTCTTTTGCATTGAAAACTTATCTACTTAACTTTTTTGTTCTCTATAAATCTTTTATTTTTTTAAGTTGCCAATGGGCGGATTTACATTGTGGACCCAAAAACTTTTCAGAACAATTGACGGACTATGGCAACTGTTACAGATTCGTGGCTCCAGAGAATTCCAGATCTACAGGTATGCATTGAAGATACATGGAATATTTACCGAAGAAGAGAAATACAAATACTCTGAAGATGAAATTAAAAAGATGATTGTTTCTGGTTGACAATATATTTGGAGACAACGTCATAATTGCACCCCATTATAAGCAAAAAGCAGATCTATTTTTGTACATACATGAATTCGAATTTATTTAAGATACGTTTTATCAATTAACAATAGTTAATTCCATTCATCAACTCGGTATTTCTGTGAGCTTGAAATGAAAGATATCACAAAGTTTGACACATCTGTTTTTATATCCGTATATTTTTACTGAAAAATTACATTATTGGTAACTTCACAACAAAGCTTAATGATAAATATGGCACGCCAAATTCACAAAAATGAGTTAATTATAGTTTCACAACCGATAAACTAGGTTTATCGGTTGTAAACTATAGTTTACGGATTGTAAACTATAGTTAACAACGTTAATCTATATTTTACATACGTAAACCGTAGTTAACGCGATAATCTATGTTTCACAAGCGTAAACCATACTTAACACAGAAAACAATCATTTGCGATTGCAAAACATATATAATCTGATAAATACAGTTTCACAATTTGTAAACTATAGTTTACAAACCGTTAACTATAGCTAACGATCTCATAAATATAGTTTCACGATTTGTGAAACTATGATTAACAACTCTTAACTATAGTTTACGATTGTAAACTATAGTTTACAAACGTGAATCTATTTGTTAACGCTTATTTCAAACAGATAAACTTAGATTAGCATTCGTGAACTGTAGTTAAAAACCGTTAAATATAGTTTTACAGATGAAAACTAAACTTAACGAATTGTTAACCATAGTTTACGGTTTGTAAACTATAGTTTACAGTCGATAAACCTAGTTTATCAATTGTGAAACTAGGTTTAGCTCATTTTTGTGAATTTGGCGTGCCATAGATAAATGTCGTAACTTCAACTTTTCAATGAAAAAATTTCCTTTACTTATGTAACAGTATACTCTTACCTCCTGCATATAAAGTTTATGTAGACCTCTCAATTCAGTCGATACGTACGAACAATTTCTACAACGAGGCAAGCTATTGACAAAAAACGTCGATGAAACTAGAATACAGCATAGTATAAAGTCATCATTTTGCAAGTTCTATGGTTGATACAATAACCGTGTAAGTGAAAACAATCTATCATTGAGTCGAATGCTAACTTGTGTTTATACTAATTAAAAGTCCATTAATTGCACATTGAATTCTTTACGATTTTTTTCTCGGTGGTTATGGCTAGTTGGTAGGATATGTTCACAAATAGCAACTGATCCCATCATGTTTGCTCTGCTCCTGCTTTGAATATTTTGAATAGATTTTGAGCAACAGCTGAATAAGCCCCTATCTACGTTATGTGTTAAAACATGTAAGAGAAAGATATAAATTAAATGTAGCTATTCAAAAACTCTATGCTTATTTCTCCTAGTCACCAGATCTCACCCGGTCTGTGTTTTATGCTCATTTTACAGTTTTGTTTTGTTTGTACACTGTAGGTGTTTAGATGGATCACTGATTGTTATCTTAATCTATTTTATTTTGGGTGAAAAAATAAAATAATTAGCAAAAAGCTTAAGAATTGACCATTGGTTATTTCATATATGTTGCAATAAAGCCCTGAGTATTGTTATTTTTTAATAAGGTGCAGACAATGGTCTGAAGTTGCTGTTGAATGTAGAACAGTATGAGTACATGCCAGGACCCAATGAAGCAGCTGGTGTAAAAGTACTCACTCACGTAAAAAACGATCACCCAAGGGTCCGGGAGCTGGGTATCGCTGTACCCACGGGGACACAAGCATTCATAGGACTTCAAGTCATACTAGTAAGTGTACAACTGTGCAACTAATTCGAATTTGTTTGTTAATGCCAAAGTGTTTTGAACGTTTGTAAGCACATTTCAGTATTCTCTAGTAGTACCTTTTAACTTCTTTTTTTGCGTTATGTGTTTTATATATGTACAAGTGCAAATTTATTTTGGAAAGTAGCACATGAAGAATATTTTGGTAGTTTGATATTATTAGAGCTTCTATCTTTTCTCATGAAAATTTACCTACACGTCGATCAGCAGAAAGATATTTCTTTCTAGGTGCACAATCTAGAGAAACCCCACGGTCAATGCCAGTATAAGTCTTTGAAGTTCTTCCCCCATTACTCGTACGATTCCTGTCTGGTGGAATGCTACACGGAGGTGTCTGCTAGACGGTGTGGATGCCGAGATTACTATATGCCCAGCCTAAACGGTGAATTGTTTTCAAAATTTGAGATTTAGAACGTATTGGGAATGCAGGATATCTAATAATGGTATTTTCTCCATGAAACACATACTCAGATTTCATTAAAATGTTTTCTCAGATTAATAATATTTATTTATACCTTCAATTCAATTAATGCTTAATTTCGAAATGCAATGCAATTTACCCTTGATTTTCATCATTAGTTTTGTAATTAGCCTAAATTGTCAACTTATTTTTCTGAGTTTTTCCTAATTAGTCACATGGGAAATATATGAAACAAAACAATCTCTCCAGTAATAAATTGGCACTTTGTTATTATATAATTGACATTTTATCATGAAGAATATGATTCTTTTTAAAAATTCCCCAGAGTTGTGATGCTCGCCCTGCGCTATTTGTTACCCGCCATGGCTTTGATAGTTTTTTGTGGTTTTTCTGTTGCTTTATTGATAATGCAAGACATTCCAATTTCAATCAAGATCTGTGATTTGTACATCCCTTTTCAAGTCCGCTACTGAACTTCAAAAATCAGCTTTATGGTGTACAATGTATTGCTTTATTCTTCTTGCACGTAAGAAAAAAGCAGAGAGTAAAAAAGATTTTGGATCTGATAGAGTTACATTGTATATCACCCTGTCTACGTTTAGGTCCGCTTAATGTCTTTCATGCACCACACACCTATCTGCATACTGGAGTAGATGTACAATAAAAGTAACATCCTTGTTTTTTGCTTGCAGGTCTTCCTCCTCCTTGTGACCTTGAGCAGTATTTTACTTGTCTTAAACCTCTCTACGGTAGAACAAGTGTTTTGTACAAATATTGTAAAAATCGAATACGAATACACTTAATGGAATAATGATTTTCAAGACAATGAAATAGAGGAATATACATTCCATATAATGCATATACATGTACTTATTTCTATATGCTATGGACGACTATTTTTTTTTTTTTATTTATACAGATGATTTCTCGCTGTGGTTAGAGAGCTGTGATTGTCCTACCGACTGTGATTACACTATGTATGACCCCGTCATGTCATATGCAACTACGTCAGAATATGCAGGTCAGAGGTTTATGGACAAAATAAACGTAACAACACTCAACTCAAAGCTCAAACGAGCGCGGGAAATTACACATCGCATGGACGCACGAAAACTAGAGACATTCAAAGAAAAAGTGAAACAAATGGAAAGGACTTTTGTAGACGTAAAACAGCTGATCCAAGAAACTATTCAGAAACATATTATGAATCAGATTGGGAATGTAACAGAGCATTACAAGAGTGCCATCAGAGTTACGAACAGGAGAATACTACTGCTTAGATTTCAAATCTATAATGTCCAGAAGAACTTTATGAGGGGCAGGGACGCCATGGAGGAAAGGACACTCTCCCACTTATGTAACAGTTTCCACGAGTTTGTTTTTGCTTACGAGACGAACCTGCGAAATTTAATCACGGAGAATGATACAGCAATAAGAAGAACATTCTATGTGAGCACAATTAATATGGTAGACGTCCGTACAGAGAACGCTAAGAGAGCACTCGCTAACTTCACAGTTCTGTACGATGCCTATGTGACAGGAACGCCAATATTTAGATACAAATTCCAGAAGTTTGCAAGACGTTATAATAATTACATTGTACCCAGACCACTACTGAACGAGTCCACCTACCACAACCCGTAGGTCATAACTTACATAAATGTACTAATTTCATTTACTATTTATTTAAACAGACATTTCTTTTCCAGCATTATTTGTATGAATTCAATATTTTGGGTAAAACAGTGTTTACATTATTGTATTTAAGTTTTATCGCTAAAGTAGTTTACAAAATTTTCGCTATACCTGTGCCTATCTTTTGCAAGTTTGTTATTTGGTATCGATAAGAGTTTATTAGTATTAAGTAATCTTAGTTTTACATTGAAGGTATGCGAGAAGATACAGTGTAAAATTGGGAGATGACATCTTGAGCATCATGGATGCGCTGTCAAGCTACAGAAATTTGACTTAGTGTTTAGCGATGCGTCTCTTAATATCACAAAAATGAACCGTGTCAGTGGGAATTTTATAGACGCGTGTGAGAAATTTTACCACACCAAAAGTACTCTGTATTATGAGACAGTGGATAGACCGGAGAGAATTATTATTATTTTTTTCCCCAAATCTTGTCGGCAGGATTTCTCAGAGATGGCTGGACGGATTTTCCTGAAATTTTCAGGGATGATAGAAAATGAAAATACTCCGAGACGTTTTTTTCATTTTTTGAAAATTCACTTCCGGTCGTCAGATATGTCCGATTTCCGCTTTTTTCAAAAATATTTAATCCGAGTGAGATCTCAGAAACGGTAAGGGATTAAGGCACCAAACTTACAGGGATGATAGATCTTGATAAGTAGGCAAATCCATTTGGGTTAAGATTGTCCGCCGTCACTTCCGGTCGTCACAGGAAGTGTTCATAAATATCGAAAATTTCAACTTTTCTTTTTTGAAATTTTTTTTGCATCACATTATAGCATCTTACTTGTAGTATTGAAATATGTCAGTTCCACCGGAAACAAAAACGGCAACTTCCGGTTATAAGAGAGAAACTACATAATTTGAGTATTTTTCTTTCCCATAAATATTTTTTATAGATAAAGTATTTGAAATGATTTTTGGATATGTTATTCAGACTGCCAATTTCTACAGTAACGTCAAATATCTTTTTAAAATTCACTTCCGGTCACGTGATTTCCTGTCCTCAAATTGAGAACTTATCATAGAGAGATCTCGTAAATGGTAAGAGATGAAGACACCAAACTTATAGAAATGGTAGATCTTCATGAGTAGGCAAAACTGTGTGGGTTAAGATTGTCCGCCGTCACTTCCGGTCGTCACAGGAAGTGATCAAAGAAATCGAAAATTTCAACTTTTCTTTTATGGAAAGTTTATTGCATCACCTGATAACATCTTATTTCTAGTTTCAAAATATATCAGGCCCACCGGAAACAAAAACGACAACTTCCGGTTATAAGAGAAAAACTACATAATTTGAGTATTTTCTTTCAAATATATATTATTTATATATAAAGTGTGTAACGGTTTTGGGGTATGTTATTCAGATTCAATATATCTACAGTTACCTCAAATATCTCTATAAAATTCACTTCCGGTCGCGTGATTTTCTGTCCTAAAACTAAGAAGTTATCATGGCTAGATTTCGTAAACGGTAAGAGATTAAGACACCAAAGGAATAGGAATGGTAGATTATGCTGAGTAGAGAAATCGATTTGAGTTAACATCGTCCGCAGTCACTTCCGGTTGTCACATGAAGTGATCAAATATATCAAAAAATTCAACTTTTCTTTGTGGAATCTTTCTTAATATTATATTATACAGCATCTTATTTGTTATTTCGAAATATGTCAGTCCCAGTAGAAACAAAAACGACAACTTCCAGTTATGAGAGAAAAAACTGCATAAATTGAGTATCATACTATCCCAGAAATATCTTTTATAAAAAGAGTATTTGAAATGATTTTAGGACATGTTATTCAGACTGCAAAAGTCTAAAGTAACGTAAAATATCTTTTTTAAAATTTACTCGCGGTCACGTGATTTCTTGTCCTCAAAACGAGAAGTTAACATTACGAGATTTCTTAAAATGTAACAGACCAAGGCACTAAACTTGTGAAGATTGGGTAACAGATATAGGGTAAAATGCGTCCTCTGTCACTTCCAGTCATCACAGGAAGTGCTAAAAAATTGAAAATGATATTTCATGAATGTTATTAAGACTTTAAACTGTCTAAAGTAACGTCAAGAATTTTAGTGAGTTATACCTCCGGCCGTTTGTTTTCCTGTAATCATTGTAAATATTATCTGCCTTTATAACATAGATAAAAGCTCATTCATACAGATAAATAGAGGAGAACGGAAGACCTTTTTTGTTGCTATAGCAACAAGAGTTTCTAGTTATTATTATTATTCTTTTTTCTTCTTATTTCTTCTCCGGTACTTTTTTGTCCGGAAGTGTTCTCAGAAACTGTTCACCAAACTAAGTTAAAACCTTTTTAGGGTTAGTAGGCATGTTGTGTAGATGTGCCGAACGAAGGTCATTTTGCGCGCATTCGCATGCACGTGCGGGCGCGTGCAATGAGTAAACTGACCGATATATTTAATATGATTGTAACTTTTTTGATAAAATGTTTTGAAACTCATCATATAAAGATATATAAGTTGTGTAGATAAGACGACATGGTCAAATTTACATGAACTCACGCGCATGCACGTGCGCTTTGCTCTGATTGGCTGAAACAGAAATCTTAATATCTTTTTTGTTTTTTGATGAAATGCTTTGAAATTTAAAACATAGACATGTATTAGAATGTACTACAATATGATACAAAAAATTTTTCATGAAATCACGCGCATGCACGTGCGCAGCAATCTGATTGGCTGAAACTTTAAATGACTATAACTCCCTTGGTTTTCAACCAAACAGCATGGGATTTAGAACATAGATAGACATAATGGACTCCTACAATATGGTTTGGTCACCATTCACATGCATGCACGTGCGTGCACGTGCGCTTTGTTCTGATTGGCTGAAACAAAAATCTCAATATCTTTTCTGTTTTTTTATAAAATACTTTGAAATTTAAAACATATGTATACTTTAAGATGTCCTACTATAAGATATATGATAATTGTCATGAAAACACGCGCATGCACGTGCGCTGCAATCTGATTGGCTTAAACTTTAAATGGCTATAACTCCCTTGTTTTTCAACCAAACAGGATGGGATTAAGAACATAGACAGACATAATGGACTCTTACAAGAAGGTATGGTCATCATGCATGTGCGTGCACGTGCATATGTGTAAAATAGTGTAGACAAGATGATATCGTCATTACGTTCATGCAATCACATGCGCACGCCTGCATTACTTAAATTTGAAATATTTGGTATACTTTCTTAAATGCATAGATTTTGCCTTCTTTATGAAGCTTACAGAGAATATGGCACGAGAAGGGAGTTGGGGAGCGTTTGGGGAACATCTGTAACGGTTCCCGTTACAATTAGCACTAGTTAGGGTCTTCCGAGCTTCCTTCGGAAGACCCTACTGTTATTCTACTGTTTCTTATTATCATTTGCGTTTTTTTTTCCCGCCGGATTTTTGACAGGCGATTTCTCAAAGACCTTTCCACTGATTTTTATGAAACTTTCAGGTTAGATACCTTGTATTAACACCTATTTACATCTGCTTTCAATTTTTTGATACATGCCTTACATTGTGAGTTATTGCCCTTTAATTGATAATTTTGATGTCTCGTGTCCACTAATAAACTCAAAAACGACATATGATAATTACATGAAAGTTTGAGAACTTGTAGCCAATACATTGTAGATGTGCATATCGATAAAATTATAAGCTGATTTTTTAAAGATCGGAAGCTATGTGACGGCATTTTTTAGTATTTTTTTCCCCATGAAATTTTGCTTCTTTTTGTGTAATAACTTTTGAACCGAGAATAATTTGGTAAGAAATATAGAACAAAAGTTGTGCATAATTACGAGAGCTTTCATATAAGGTCAAAGAAAAGGGGCTGGCCCCTATTATTAGGGGTTAATAGCTCATACAAGTTTTTTTCTGATAGCTAAAAATATTGGTATATTATGAAAAAGTTTGACTGAAATAGTTTCGAACTGATTAAATCTTGTCGTTTGATATAAAGAGAAATAAGCTTCAAGCAATATTTAATAGTTTTTTTTATAAAATAAATATATGAGAAACGTTACAGGAACAAGTTGTCTACTGTAAGCCAAGCCTTGACTGGGCCTCTTGCATAGTTTTCGTTGATGCATAGGAAAGATATTGATTTGATTCGGTGTTTCTCTGTTTTCTTTTATTCAAATAATTAACATAATGTGATGATGTACATGGCAATAAGTAAAATCAAAATATTTATGCATTAGTTAAGAGGAAGTCTTTTGGGGGCCTCTTGTTTGTAAACAACGCGCGGCATTGTGGGAAATGGGAAGGTACTAAAGACTGATATACTAAAAACCTTATTTGACCTGATTCAAAATCGTCAGTAAATATTCCAAACAAACGAATTTTTGTATAGCATTATGCATCATAGTCATAAAGTATTTAAATGAGTCATTAGAAGTACTCAATATTTTCGTTTAATCTAAAATAAAAACATCAGGTAAATATCAGGTCTTTCGTATATCCGGTTATTAGTGTGTCCCAAAAGTTGGACACATGTTTACAAACTGAAAGTTGGAAATCATGTGAAGTTGAGCATTAATCTTACCACACAAGCCACAGGCCGTATGTAGACATGCACGCACAATTAATCTGCAGCTACGAAGTACTTTATCAATCCTCTGGAGCATTATTTTTCAGCAGAATTATCCGATTTATAAATTTTTGTGTGAATTGTTTACGAGGAAATTCCGACTGTTACTTTAACAAGCTGAACACTCTTGACTCTGGTTCGTGGTTCCCAGTGATAAATGTATCGAGTGATGAAAGAGTCGACGGTGACATTTTAAAGTTTGATTGGCGTGGACTATCGGAATGAAGGTTAGAAATTTATTTTACCTAAAATTTAAATTACTATCTGACTATGGCAGCTTAGAGCATTGATATTTTTAGAACCGATACATTATCTGTTTTAAGGCTCAGACGCTTTCTGTTAGCCTTTTAAAATCCCAAGAGCTTTTTATTTTTTATTTAAATATATATGTGAGTATTTAATATCAACAAGACTCATTTTCAAAACAAAAAATTCAACACTCCACTATCCATCATAGTGATTCTCTTAAAGATAGATAAGCAGTCAAGGTGACCAGACGTGTTTTTTACAGCTCCTGAAGATCTTATCTCTACGTAGCTTAACAATGGAATAATAATGAGTTTGAGTGAAAATTCTAATCTTTTCAAGTCACTTTTGGACTCATTTACCGGATTTTCAAGATCGTTTATTTTAACTAATGATCTGCCAACGGAATCTGTGGGACTTAGTGTAAATGATGTGCCAAATTTCTTGCAAGTACAGGAAAACCAGGAAAGTGTTACAATTACTTTCAATGGCGACAAGTACCCCATCATTTTAGATCTGTTGGAGAAGAAACTCCTATTATTTAAAGACAGTAATGAAAGGCGACATGGATCTATTTATAAATCACAGGATAAAACTGTCACTGTTACCATCTACGAGACAACAAGCTCTCTACATATCCAAGGGGAATCGTATTTTTCTTGGTATCAGGAGTTCCTCATGGACTTGAATAAATTGGATCTAAATTTGGAAACAAATTGTAAGACTTTAGATGAAACATCTCCTCAATGCACCTCCACCCCTAAGGGTAAGACATCACAAAATTGTCATCAGTGTATTGGCAGTGCCAAACTTATTCAGGAATTGTCTGATACCGTCAAGCTTTTGTCACAAGAAGTCAGTGACCTAAAACAGCAACTAAATGGGTCAAAAAATGTCACCTCGCTTGTTTCAAGAGCTACCCAAACAACTCCTAATAGGACAAAACAAAAGGAGACATCAACAGACGGACTCCTTCACATTCCAGCCGGTGTATCTAGGCATACCCAATGCACCCTTAAAGCTCCGACAATATCCAATAGTACATGTACCATGACAGATGCCAGTGAAGCTCATACTATGAGTTTTCCTACCTCGCCAGATTCAAACACCAAACATGGAACAAATCAACCTAGAAAGATCCCAACGGATAAATCTGTCCTCATCATAGGAAGTTCCATACTGCAAAGGATCCGCACCAGAGGATTGCGTTCAAATGTGCAGGTCAACACAAATCGCGGGGCAAACATCTCCCATATACGGTCCAAGCTCTCAAAAATGGATGTTTCTTCATATCGTAGTGTAATCATCTTGGCTGGCGGAAATGATGCATCTAGACGACGAGACCCAGAGGCAATAGAAAATGATTTCGCAGAAGTAATCACAGATCTCAGAAATCGGAATTCTAGTATCAGTGTATTTATCTCGGAAGTATTACCAAGGCGTGATACAGACACCAGTGAAGTTAATGGAATTATTAAAAGTGTATGTGAAATGTATGGTGGTTCAGTGATTCCAACATCTAAATTCTTTGGTCGTGGAAATCCCAAACAAGAGTATTATTGGAAAGACAACATTCATCTGTCAGACAGAGGTACCGCAGAACTGCTAAAAATTTTCCATCAATACGTGAGTATCCTCAAAGTCGGAAACGTACATACGAATGGTGAAGAATCGGAAATACTTGGCAGTACTTCCTTCCGCCGTCCAGCCTTCTGTTATTTCTGCGGGGAAAGTGGACACATATCACGACACTGCAGACATGGAAGAAAGTTGGACTGCTGGAATTGTGGGGAACTGGGTCATAAAACCAAGCTTTGTCCGAATGGACACTAGGAAACTGGCAACGAATGTGTAGCCGACCATAGTTCCCAATCGATTTCTCTTGACAACAATGTTTATTCGACTCTTAATAGATTATGTTCAGAATGTAATAAGATCCACTGTTCATGCAAACAATGTGAATATTTTTCTCTAGATTTTGTAACAAATTCAAAAAATTTAATTACTTCACCAAATACTTCTAAATTCTCAAAACCAGACAAGAATACTCATAGATTTCATACCAAGAAGGTTTCACAATCTGCTAATCATACGATATCTAAAAATGAGAATATACATGTACCACATGTACTGAGCAATAATGGGTTTGGTTTGGTGAAAAAAGGTCTAAGATTTGGAAATCTAAACATATGTCACTTATTGCCTAAAATTGAAGAAATTAAACTATTACTTCATGACAAACAAACTGTAAATATTTTAGGACTTTGTGAAACCTTCTTGAATGATCAAGTCAGTGATTCTGAATTGTATATTGAGGGTTTTGATATGGAAAGAAAAGATCGCATTCTGAGAGCAGGTGGTGGAATTATTGTCTACATTTCTAATAATATAAGATATAAACGTAGGCCTGATTTTGAAATCAGTAATATTGAAACAATTTGGCTGGAATTAAAGATTAAAAATTCTAAACCAATTTATTACTGTTCAGCATATCGTCCACCATCTGCTCCCTCCTGCTGGGCAGAGGACCTGGCTAGAGAGATTAACTGTGCCTCCTGCTGTGACGATGCAGAAATTATCTTAACAGGTGACTTTAATGTAGACTTATTCAAAGAACCCCCACAAAGTTGGACATATGCTATGGAAGAGTATGGTTTTTCACAATTAATTACAGCACCAACTAGAGTAACTAATACCTCAAGTACCCTAATAGATCACTTTTACACCAATAAACCAGATAACATGTGTGAAGTAAATATACCTTTTATAGCCATCTCTGATCACTACCCAATATGTGCCACTAGAAAAACAAAATGCATGCCGCAAAAAGGAAAACACATAGAAATTCAATATAGAGACTTCAAAAAGTTTGATGAAAATAAATTCCTCCAAGACTTAAAACATGTAGAATTTAACAATCTCCTCCAGATGCATGACCCTAATGAAATACTAACTGAATTCTATGAATTATTCAATAGCGTACTTGACCAGCATGCACAGGTTAAAACAAAACGAGTAAAGAGTGAAATCCGTCCTAAATGGATGACACAAGAAATAAACAATGCTAGACATTTACGGGACTCTTACCACAAAGAAGGAGACATGGAAAACTATAGAATTTATCGAAACAAAGTTAGCGATCTTATAAACAAATCAAAATCTTCTTACTATAAAACAGCGATTGAACAGAGTTCAAATCCCAAAGAAATGTGGAACTATCTTAATCAATTAACATGTAATCTTAAGAATACAACTCCATCTCATGTGTCTTCTAATGGGGAAATTGTTGATAATTTACAGAATATTGCAAATACTTTTAATAACCACTTTACGGATGTCTCTAACAAGCTTCTTTTGGAAATGCCAAAACATGATTATGATCCTAATATCTTATGTAATTTTGTTAGGTCTAAGCTTGATGAGGAAACCTTGTTTAGTATTCATCAAATTGAGGAAAGTGAAGTTTTTAACATGTTAAATTCTCTAAATATCAATAAATCAGCTGGTATTGATTTTATTGGGCCCCGTCTTCTGAAAGTCACATCTAAATATATATGTAAACCTATAACTCATCTTATTAACGCTAGCATAGTAAGTGGTATTTTCCCGACAAATTTAAAACAAGCCAAAGTAACACCTATTTTTAAGAAAGGTGACAAAGCTGACCCGAATAATTATCGTCCTATTTCTATTCTACCAACTATATCTAAATTGATAGAAAAACATGTAGCTAAGCTAATACAAAATTTCACTAATGAATTTGATCTACTAACACAATCCCAGTCGGGGTTTAGGGAACTCCATTCCTGTCAAACTTCACTTACAAAACTAACAGAAAGTTGGCTTACTGCAATGGATCGTGGTGAACTAATCGGTATTACATTTATAGATTTTAGTAAAGCATTTGATTTAGTGAATCATGATATTCTTCTAGAGAAATTAACCCATTACAAATTTGACCAAACAGCTATAAAATGGTTTAAATCATATCTTTACGATAGGACCCAGTGTGTTAAATTTGGATCATGTGTCTCCAATATTCTACCCGTCACAGCAGGAGTGCCACAAGGGTCAATTTTGGGCCCACTTTTATTTTTATTGTACATAAATGACCTTCCATTACATGTAAACAATTCAAATATTGATATGTTTGCTGATGATGTAACTCTGTATTCTTATAATAATAATGCAAGATGTTTAGAAAATACACTAAATTCAGATCTTAATGAGATTGAGAAATGGTGTGCTCAAAATCAAATGGTTTTAAATGTAGATAAAACAAAATGTATGTTAATGGGAACACAGCAAAGAAAATCAAAATTAGATCATCCAAATTTACAACTTTATGCCTCAGATAAAACAATTGAAATGGTTGAAACTGAAAAAATTCTTGGTGTACATATTGATGATAAGTTACAGTATACAAATCATATTGATTCGGTTTGTAAAACGGTAAATTATAAGTTATTTACTCTTCGAAGGATTAAGAAATTTCTCCCTCTACATACCAGAAAACTATATTACAATGCTTATATTTTACCATCCATTAACTATTGTTTGACTATCTGGGGTAATGCCCCCAAGCAGGACATGGACAGACTATTTAAATTACAGAAAAGGGCAGCAAGGATTATTCTTGACGCAAGTCCCGATTCTTCTTCTAAACCACTGTTTGAGAAACTTGGATGGTTAACAGTTTATGAGCTAGTTGATCTATACAAATACATATTATTATACAAAATTTTCAGTGGAACGACTCCCCAATATCTTTGTAATTTATTTGAATTTCATTCATCATCTTCTTATAACCTTCGATCTGAAAGTAATTATGATCTAAGATTGCCGAAATTTCGTACAAACTTATTCAAGACATCTTTTCAGTATTCAGGTGTACATCTATGGAATAAACTTCCCCAACACATTAGACTCTCTCATTCTCTACGAGCATTTAAGCGTAATATAGAAAATTACATCATCAGCTGTCGCACAATTATTTGAGCACAATAAGGTTTCGATATTGTATATTGTATTATGATTGTTAATTAACTATACATGGACACTACATTCATAATCTTGTGATTGTAATTCCTTAAACATATTACTATTATATATGATGAATTGTATTCTGTATATTTTTGTATTTGACATATATAGAAGGCCCTGGGGAAGAATAGTGCATGCACTAACCAGGTTACCTTCTTTAAATAAAGTATTTATTATTATTATTATTATTATTATTATTATAGATCGTTTCACGGTAACTGCGGTACTGCTCTTTTGCAGGGCAAAATGATATAGTTTGGTGAAATATGACATATACGTAATTGTTAAATATACGTCATTTAATTATCTCTCAACAAAAACTTTGCCAAACGTTATTATTTTGCCCTACAAAAGAGCAATACCGCAGTAACCATGGAGGGGTAATTCACACTACACTTATTATTTGTTGAATATACACCGTAACAATATGTTGACGGTACGTGTGACTGTAAGGGTGAGGGCAGATACTTATTCAGTTTTAATTTAGATCGGGCTTGTCAAACCGCACTTGATATTTGGTGCATCGATGCTCTGTTCACACGGGGAGTTTAATTCAAATTAGTTTTATTAATTCGAATTACTTTACTGCGAATTAAATTACTTTGCATTAGCTCCATGTGAACACAAAGGGACGCTTATTCGAATTAAATTTTGAGGCATGTGTAATGGCAAAATTAATTCAAATGCTACATGTTGGTGGTAAGCTTTAAGTACTTAATTGTGCTATTTTTGAGCGGATAGCCTTACTGACACTTGACTGTAGAAGTAAAATTTTTATTCGCATTTGTTTAATTTGCATTAGCTGTCATGTTAACACAGTTTGATTCCCATTAGTTTGATTCGCATTAGTTTACTTTGCAATCATTTACTGCGAATTAAACTCTCCGTGTGAACAGGGCACTAGACTTTGAAGTCACATGATGTCGTGGTGTAAGTTAGGCCTACACTACCAGTCTAAATCTTGAATAGTGCTGACTTTAATGAAGAATTTTTTCCCCCACTATTTATCTGCAATTTATCCATTAAATCAAGGTGAATTTATTTTTTGGAAACTTTTGATCAATTCTTGCAAGAATGTAGCTTAAAGAATCAAAGCACTGTGGGTCCAAAGTTACTGCGGAAAAGAAATTGTGTGGATCAATAAGCGAGTGATAATTTTCGACACCAAGGCGTTGTCATGAGAGCTTGCACTATGAGCAGCGCTTCGTGCTGCTGTCTGTAATTGCTATAAATAGCTGTTCAAACAAAGTCTTTAGTATCAAAATTTATTGACAAAAATTTGCACAATTGTTGCTCAGTTAAATCTCAAAAGAAATTTGTAAAAACAATTGTAATAATAGAAAGTTTGCTTATTTTTAGATGACTGCAGGAATGGTTTGTTTGATTATTGGCCTATCAAACATTTTCCAGTCATTTCATGATGCCACCACTTGGGATAGTAAGCTGCAAATATAGACTTGTACTCAGCACGTATTGCCTTTGAGAAGTAAGGGATCCTTTTGACACTGAATCTCGGTATGCGGTCTCATTGGAGTAAACTGTCTGAAGCATTTAGCTATGGGATTGGAACCTGTGATGTAAGAATCAGCTTCTTATTGGTACTTTGATTGGTAATGTTCTTTGAGAATTTTCACTCCAGGACCTTCACTCATTTGGAGGAGTTAATATATACCGGTGAATATTTTTTATTTAGACCTTTATTTGGAACTCAGTGACATTGTCCTAACATGTACTATGAGGTTTTTAAGGTCTCATTCACCTCAAATTCTGGGTGCATGGTTAAGTAACATTACTGCATCATGTTTTGTCTTATGTTTGATACAGTGAATAATCAAAGTACTCAGAAGAACTGAAAGCTGGGCTCATTTACAGGGTAATGAACAAAGACCATGATGAGAGTTTAAAAACAAATTCAGACATTGAGAGGATATGTAATCCACAAAAAATCTCTATGGCATACATATAGCATTAAAAAGTTTTGATTCAAATTTCAAATTTAGCAATCAAATTTGCCTCAAATTTGATTGCCCAAATGTACTATATTTTAACTTGTAAAGGATGAGGTGACTTGCGGCCCCTCGTATACTGACAAAAAGTTAAATGTCTAAATTTTACTCAAATTTTTGTATGTAACTAATCACTGAAATGTGTACCTGTATAGAATACTATTTTTTAACAAAAATAGAAACGTGATTTAATAGATATAGGTCTTTTATTGGGGTAGGGGTAACATGTTTACATTCAATTCCCATTGCATTTTAACCCCCCCCCCCCCACTCTTTGAAGCCCTTAAAATATACGAGCGCAGATAAGTACAATTTTCTCCTTTGTCTGGTCACTGTATTTTATTGAAATCTACCTATACGTGAAAGGAGAAAATTGTACCTAATTGCGCTCACATGCTATTTTAAAAAAATATTGTAAAATATAGTTGGCCTTTCCCATTATAAACAGATCGACGGAAGTAGATTTTCTGACGTAAGAATGAATTCATATGCTAATCGAGGCACGGGCGATACTTTCTAACTGACCAATCAGCTATATGAAATTCGTTACGAGTGAGTACCACAAAAATACTATGGCAACATGCTTGGAATTTTACTGCTTTTAAATATCTTTTTATGCATTTAAGTCACAGATTAGACACGGATCTACATATGTACCATTTCCTACACCACAATAAAATTCATATGTACAGTTACAAGCATTTGATAGAATATACATGATATACATTAGTTTAAAGTTTTGTAGCGTGTTTGGTGAGCAATTTGCTAGTTCTACACATATTTCCGAGTATCGTTGAATACAATTTTCATGTGCATTTTTAACCCTAAAAACCGTAAATGCTGAAAATCCATGCTTATTATTAAGTATAAGTAGCATTGGCTGACCATTATAAAAGTTTGAATGTAGAAAAAGATAACAGGTAAATATAAACCTAAACCACGTGTCTCTGATAAAATGTAAGCGTAGTAAACCAGCATGTTTTGTTGTTCTGTTATTCGGATTGGTCAATGAAAAAGTGCGAAATGATAACAATAGCCATATAAGGTCTTCTCAGACACGCATATCCCACTATTGTACTGAGACCCGCCCATTCCCTGCCTTAAAAATAAATATTCGCACAAACCTGGCCAAATTTAGCTGTGATAGGGTCTAAAAAATCAAAGATAATGCAGTATTCCTTATAATTAAAATGTGCCTGAACTGTTGAAACTATTCGAAAGGCGTCATATTTATTCACTTATGTTTGAAAACTACCAACATTGTTGTAGATTAAATATAATTCGTCGTGGAAAAAGGGCCCCAGATAGCAGTTATGTCACATCATCCTTTGATTAAGCATCAGTGATGAAGCAGCATTTCCTGTTGAACTTCGTAGCAATGAGCCCGGCTAGAAATCAAGCTAAACTTCAGGATTATATAAAGGGAATGCCCTACCACTAGGCTACCATAAAGACAAAGATGTATTTTGGTTATATAGGGAAAAATGCTTTGGCAAACACTTATAATGAATAGAAGCTTATAGAAAATTGAATTTTATTCCTTGTCTTTTTAAAACATATGGAAATCTAAATGAAAAAAAATGATTTACATGTACCCTGGTACATGTACTTTTACAAAAAAAACATAGCTAGTTGGTTATGAAAATTATGGTGTCCAGATAAGGCTAATTGTAAAAGTGCTTCAGCATGTTTAGGAACAATGTGCTAACACAGTGTTCACAACACTGTCAGGCTAAGGCAACTTAAAATAACATGCAGTTGTGCTGCCACAAAACATGCTGCCATGCCAACACAGCTTTACACAATCTATTACATGTAATCTTGACTGTGTGGTGTAAAAGCCTGCTGCAACATTGTTACAATGCACAAGTACATTGTCATTGTGTTGTCATAAACACACTAGACCATCCTCATAAGTGTTGTAGCACATTTTTACTTCATTCTGCCTTGTAAGTGTCTTAAACTGGCCAGAATGTTGTCATAAACTTACTAGCATGGTGTTATAAATGAGCTAGAGCCACATTGTTACTTTGCGCTAGCTCTTTGTTCCATATGCAATAGTGTTTTGTCACTTCATTAGCGCATTGTTCTTAATTGCTGTAACACCTTTACGAATGGTCTTATCCTGACACATAAAAAAAAAATAACTGGATACCATCTTTTTGGCTAATTAATCGGTTAACAACTGTTAACCATTATCATTCCTAATAAATTTCGATATGAACAAGTAATGTACATTTTCTTTATTTGAAATCATGAAGAACTAATATGTTATTTTATAACATCCTCAAATGACTGCCTGTAAACCTATATTTTTAAATAATTATAGACTACCGGAAAATGTGACAGAATCTTTGAACTCAGTTTGATGGTTTATCTTATCTTATAACAGTGTATAAGTTGCACTTTTAAAAAAAAATTCAATAAAAAATTTAAATTTCTTTTTGATAGGTGTGACTGTCATCAGAGTACTGAAATTTGATTCCAAGCACGATCATGATTTGCCAGAAGAGCATCTGTTGGGGGATGACAAGGAATAAACAGCATAATGAAATTGAAACACTCATGTGAATCAGTCTGTCTTAGTTTATGATATTGACTTTAAATTTTCATATTTTAATTTTAATTTGAGAAACAGACATAAATCCACAAATATGAACAAATCCATTGCTTTCAGTTTTTCAAGAGAAATAGATTTTGTTACAGAGTCTATCTTTAGTTTGGAATAAATATTCTTTTTAAGTATGTGTCAGATCTTGCATGTAAACATCTGTTTTGAGGTCTTCCGTTTCCAAGAGAAGACATACCAGTTCTAATAGTTAAGGTTATAAATGTGTGTAAATATTTGTATTTTTACAGTATAATTGACTGATTGATTGTTTACTGTTTAAAGTCCCTCTCCAGAATATTTCACTTGGTATGGAGACGTCACCATTGCTGGTGAAGGGCTGCAAATTTAGGCCTATGCTTGGCACTAATGGCCTTTAAGCAGGGAGGGATCTTTATTGTGCAACACCTGCTGTGACACAGGGCCTCGGTTTATACGGTCTCATCCGAAGAACCGCCCCATTTAGTCGCCTTTTACAACAAGCAAGAGGGTACTGAGGACCTATTATAACCCGGAAAGGATTTTGCTATTTGAGTCAAAGAAATAAAGAATGGTAGCAAAGTTGACAATTGAAACATTTCACTTTCTGCTTATCGCTAAGAAGGAAGACCCACTCGTTGCTTTGCAACGAGCTTTGCTCTAGTTATTATGTCGCCCCGAACGAAGTCGGGGACGACATATTGATATTGTACGCATGTTTTTTTTATCCAGGCTGTTTCTCGGAGATGGCTGGGACAATCTTCCTGAAACTTTCCTCAAAGGACGATCACTGGTTGTAGTTGTGCAGTGAGGTCGTTCAGTTCCAATATGTCTACCGTTGCCATGGAAACCTGTAAAAGGCGACAAATTTTGTCCGAGAGTGTTCTCTCTGGTCCCTTAAACGTTCGTCATGAAACTTTTTCTTATTTTAATGATTAGTATCTGTAGTTCTGCAACTCGTATTTAAAATTTTCATATAATCGATTATTGCCATGGAAACCAGGTGAAAGTTAAAATTCTTTAATATCGATTTTCTCAATAACTACTCAGGCAATCGTTTTGAAACTTTCAATGTTTATTCCTTGCAATGTGTCAAAGTGATTTCTACTTTCAAAATAATTGTAATGAGTCGCTCACGGTTGCCATAGAAACGAAACAGAAAAAAAGATTCAGATGTACACATGTGTTCTCCAAGGTCTAGGTCAAAGGGTCAAAGTTCGTCGTATCCAATAAAAGTTCTTTTCACAAGGATCACATATTTGAAATGCGAAAGCCCTAGTACTTACCGTTCAAACGTTATGGCTATTTACTATGTTCAAGACGCCCCCCCCTCTTTTTATGAAGCACACAGCCAAGTAGAATACACAGATATAACATATACAACTTACAAGTAACTTTTTAAAATCTTCATTCATAAAATTCAGTTCCCGTCATGTGATATTTTGCCATCATTCATTCTCCTTCTGTTTTGTCTCTTGAATTTATAAATATTTTATTTTATCTATATAAAAAAAAAATAACGATTGTCAGCTGCATTTATTATCATTTCGCGTTTTCTTGTATATCTATCACTTGTATATTATTCATTTCATTAGATAGTGCAAGTATAAATTAAAAAATTGGTACGTCATTTCCATAGTTTTTATTCATTCATAAATTCTTTGATCCGCTCCTGATGGTTCGCAAAGCCTTGATCACCACTGTATACAAAACATTCATCTCGCCGAAAATTTTCATGATTCCGCTAAACTGAGAAAGTTCACACATGATTTATTATCTCATAACACACATCAGCTCTCTGCAATGCAGAAATGCTCGAATTGATGGTGGCATGTCAGATTCGTTTTTCGGTAGAACCTCTAAAATGAAAGTGAAAGAGGGAAATTTCAGAGTTCTCACTGGCGTTACAATACACAAAATAATTCGGCTGATCTTCTTCATAAATTACATTTCCCAAGCTTTTATCATAGGAAAGATACTGCCAATTAACAAGTATGAGGCTCAGTTCAGTACATCTGCCAGATTTCTTTTATGCAAGTCTGCAAATTGAGGAACTTGTAATTTTCCTGCACTACTTTCTTCTCCTACCGATTCTAAAAATAATGAGTGGGATGTACCGAATTAAGGTCTTCCGTTTCCAATGGAAAGGACTGATATAGCTCAATGGTTGTTCAAACTTAGCTTATGGACTTTTGTTTTAGTGATGATAAAAATGAAAGTCTTGTCTAATACGGGGCGACATATGCTATTGCTTGCAATAGCAGACTTTCTAGTTATTCTTTTTTTTCTTCTTTGTTCTCCGGTACTTTTTTTGTCCGCGAGTGTTCTCAGAAACTGTTCACCCAACTGAGCTAAAACCTTTTTAGGGTTAATAGGTGTGTAGTGTAGGTGTGCAACACGAAGGTTATTTTGCGCGCATACGCATGCACGTGCGGGCGCGTGAAATGAGTGAAATGACGGATATACTTTATATAGCCATAACTTTAACATTTTCTGATGAAATATTTTAAAACTCATTTAATAAGGATATATTAATGGTGTAGATAATGTGACACTGTCAAATTAGCACGAACTCACGCGCATGCACGTGCGCTTCGCTCTGATTGGCTGCAACAAAAATCTCAATATCTTTTCTGTTTTTTGACGAAATGCTATGAAATTTAAAATATAGTTAAACTTTAGGATGTACTACAATATGATATATAACAATTGTCATGTAAACACGCGCATGCACGTGCGCTGCTATCTGATTGGCTTAAACTTTTAAAGGCTATAATTCCCTTGTTTTTCAACGAAACAGTATGGGATTTAGAACATAGACAAACATAATGGACTCCCACAAGGAGGTATGGTCGTCATGCACATGCATGCACGTATGGTTTGCTGTGATTCGCTGAAACAAAAATCGCAATATCTTTTTTTAATTTTTGACGAAATGCTTTAAAATTTTAAGCATAATCATGCATTAGGATGTACTACAATATGATATATAACAGTTGTCGTGAAAACATGCGCATACATGTGCGCTGCAATCTGATTGGCTTAAACTTAAAATGGCTATAACTTCCTCGTTTTTCAACCAAACAGGATGGGATTTAGAACATAGACAAACATAACAGACTCCTACAAGAAGATACAGTCGACATGCACATGCATGCACGTGAAATGAGTAAAATTACAAATACACTAGATTAAAACGTATTTTTTAATACTTTTGGATAAAACGCTGTAATTTCTAGTATATAAATAGTGTAGACAAGATGATATGGCCATTATGCACATGCATTCAAATGCGCATGCGTGCAATGCATAAATTTGAATATACTGAATATACTTCTGGGAAAACATTGTTATAGTCTAAAAGGCATAGAGTTCGTCTTATTTAATGAAGCTTACAGGGAATACGGCACCAAAAGGGAGTTGGGGAGCGTTTGGGGAACATCTGTAACGGTTCCCGTTACAATTAGCCCTAGTTAATTTTGTGAGATAACCTTTGTGAAGGTCAAATTGAAGATCATGAAAATTTTTGATAATTTTTTTTTTCAGTAGGTTTCTGTGTGAAGGGTTCGGGGGATAAACTGGTCCCGGCTAACTACATTGAACCTTCAGACCGCCTTCCTTCTGTCACTGACACTTACCAAAAACCCACCATATCTCGCCCAACAAAGAATAAGATCGAACAAGTGAAGGAATCCGAACTGGTCACTTTCGATGAAGTGAAGTACATTGCAAAGTGGCGGAAAAGACTCTTCCAAGTTATGGTGGTAGATCTCAAGGACAATCAATATGTTGTGCGGACATCATCTTCACCAAGAAAGTGGACTGTCAACACATTGTTTGTACAGTCCACGAATGCCCCTACAGGTGAGATTGAATTTGAATCAGAGTCAGGTACACAAATCTAAAGAATTACACAAATTATTTTGAATTTAGATTGTATTCCATTCTAACTTTTACATACATGTATTTATGACCATGGACTCAGACTTCGAGGGCAACAGCAGTGCAAACGATGGTCTCCATGAAGCTGCCACCAAGGCTACCTCATCCAGCACCATGGACTCTGCCAAACATGCCAAAGCCTCCCTGAAAGCCTCGAAACTCCCTCAAAAGACCATAAAGTCGGACGACTCAGACAATGAGGGTCCACGTCAAAGAAGTGAGCTTAGAGTCATCTACACAAATCCAAAAAAAAATTATTTTAAATTTAAATTGTGCAGGATGTTTTGAAAAAACTACAAATTATTTTGAATTCAGATTGTATTTCATTCTAACTTTTTCATACATGTATTTATGATTGAACTTCAGGAAAAGACGTTCCCGCTGCCACAGAGGCCTCAGCCAGCGCCAAAGCCTCCACGAAAAAACGCTCTCTAAAGACCATGGACGACTCAGACAATGAGGGTCCACGTAAAAGAAGTAAGTTTAGGGTCATCTACACAAATCCAAAAAAAATTATTTATTAAAATTTGAATTGTTGTGTAGGATGTTTTGAAAAAACAACAAATTATTTTAACCAGAGTTATTGCCTTTACACCAAAATAGCCGAAATAGTGGTTTCCGGAATATAACTCGAACATTTATGCTCCGATTTCATCCAAATTTGGTATGTAGGTTCCTTACAAGAAAATCTAGACCGAGTTCTATATTGGCAGTATCCGGAAATTTTTAAGAGAGTTATTGCCTTAGAATTTAACACGAAAATCCTAGAAGTAGTTGTTTCCGTATGATAACTTGAACATTTATGCTCCGATTTCATCTAAATTTGGTATGTAGGTTTCTTACAAGACTATCTAGACCAGGTTCTATATTGGGCAGCATTCAGGGTGGGGGGGGGGGGGGGGGCGGAAAAAAATTGCAAGACCTTAGGTCCTATTTTTTTTTACAGGGCCCTTTTGGGTACCCACCCACCCCTACCCGCAATTTTTTTCCACCTGATTTCGGGACACCCACCCCCCAAATATATAA